CATAGTGGGGCGGATTTAGCAGTTTAGGGGCCCTAAGCAAATAGAAGCATGGGGCCCTCCACCTTTTTCAAATCTCATTTAACGAACAAACTAAAAACAAACAAATATCTCGCTCCTAGTTTTTAAATTTTTTTTTAAATACAGACAGCAGTCGAACACAGTAAAGCAACTACAGTAAGTCTTATTTACCTTTTCATCAAAGTAATACAAAAAGATGCATAGCAACATAACACGTTTTAATTTTTGAACCATTATGACTTGATAAAGCCACCTTTTCCCCTCCCCCACCACCCATCATTAACCCCATTTACCAGATATCGCCCCACAAGAAATGGGTTGTTACAGCGGTGAAACTGGCATTTGTAACGAGATCATAGAAACATTCTGAAGGAGTTTTACCGCGTGAAACATGTACCAGAACCGCTGAAAACTGCCTGGAAAAAGAAGACTGTCAGTATCGATATGTTCCCAGGGTTCCAACGTTTGCCTCGAACGGCTACGGCAGCCAAGAGAAATCAGATGAAAGAAGAAGCTCTCTAGTTAACATTATTCTTAAGTAAATAACTGCGGTCAGGCCAGCCTCCACGCCGAAAACACAGTCAAACTAGCCCCCACAACCTTTTAGCTCACTTAAATGTTAACCTATTACCTCAACACAAGATCCCATGTCCCTATTCTAAAGTGGTAGCGGTAGTTATCTAGGTTACTAACAACGAACAGCTACGACAACCAAGAGAAACAGAAGAAAGATAAAAGCCCCTTGGTTATTAACATTGGTCTTTAATGATCGACTCACTTCCCCTGATTTATAATCACGTTATCCCAGAACTCTGGCGGAAGCTAGCTAGGTACCCAGCCAAGGCAGCCATTACAGCCAAGAGAAACCGGCAAAGCATAAAAGCCTTCTAATACGGGATTGTGAAGTCGGGGAAGTGAGTCGTTCATTTGGTTTAGATGTAATAATTAAAGACCAGTGTTCACCAGGGTGCTCTTACTCCTCTCAGGTTTCTCTAGATGATAATCGCAGCTGTTCGTTGTTAGTTAGCTGACGTAAGATACCTACCACTACCATTTTTGAGTAGTTTATTTATTGGGGAAACAATTGAGTTGCAAAATCAGGCAGGTTGTATTTATTAAAGGGCAACGCTAACTGGAGAGCTTCTTCGCTTCACTTAGTACTCTTGGCTGCTGCAGCTGTTCGTAGCTAACGTTACATATCGATACTGGCAGGATCTTGTTTTCAGCGGCTCTAGTACATGTTTCATGACGTAAAACTTCACTCCCTCAGAATGTTTGTATGATCTCTCTTTACAAATGCCAATTTCACAGATGTCACAACCCATCTCTTCGTAAATAACATCGCTTTTGATCAGCGTCAGATTTGCCGCTGAATGCGAACAAACTTGGTCGGTCATTATACAACCTTCGGTTTTCACCGTGTAATTCCCCAGACGTGCTCTTGGAATAGTCCATTGTAATAAGAAGGGGGGAGCTTAGCCCAGCAATTTGTGAATAATTGGAATTCTGACGCAATTTCAGCGTATAGATTGTAGAATGACATAATTAATAAAGATAGAGTCAAAAATAAGCGAAACCATATATTTATTATTTTTTTTTTTAGGTCTACAGGGGGCCCCTTGGATGCTGGGGGCCCCAGGCAATTGCTTACCTTGCCTAATGGCAAAGTCCGCCTCTGAGTGGTTATGATTTCACAACTGCACCAGAAACTGAGTGGTGAGTTGGGGTGTGTCACTATTTATTAATATCAAGCACTGTCACATAAAAACAAGCAGTGTCCTCTCTAAATGACACATTGAAAGTGACTATTAATCTTCTATTCAACATGGGAAAACGGGAAAGGACAGCAACAAACAGCAACATGATCCACTTAATGGTGGCACCCTACCGAACCCAAACAAACATGGAGCGTGAAAGCAAAGCGCCTAAATAAGATAACTAATAAAACCGATAATTGAACAAACACATAAATGAGCAGTTAGTTAACAACAAAAACTGTAAATTGAGCACGCTAGTTACAGTAGGTAATGCTTGAGGACAAACTCCTGGCAAAACGTAACATATTAACCCCTGTCCGCAGATCGTAGATGCCAGCAAGCGTAGCTGCTCAATTTATACACGTTTTTACACTATCCTATCAATAGGTTGCTCACCCGAAACAGTTATTGAATATTGACTAGGAAGCGATGCCTGTAAATGATTTACAATATGGAGGAGTTAAGTCACATCACTGTTTCCCTGAAATTCTATGAATTAAACTCCTCAGCCAAGCCTGACCTGCAAACTGCCTAAGATACTTAATTGCATTGCAACCTGTTCAGCCATAATAGCTCAAAGGTATCCCAATTAAGTAGTGAAAAAAAATCAGCTTTCTGAAGCAAATATTCAACATGGTATTGAAACTATGTCGTTCTAATGTCAATTATAATCATCAGATACTAAAAACACATGACGCCCTTCCATTGATTTATGTGTAGATTTGTCCCTCGTAGAATACAGTGGTCACTTAAAGCCACAAACAATCTCTCACTGAAATGCAGTCACTTTTGTGGTCGCTCAGGTTTATCTGCGTAAGGCACATTTATAGTTCACGCCCGTGAGAAACTTTCCCAGTAATTATTTGTTGATTAACCAGTTTTTCATACAGGTCCAGGCATTATAAATTTTCCATGGTTATTGAAAGACATTGATTGGACCCTCATAAAAGTATGCCAACCCCTGCGTAACAGCAAGCTAGGTTACAACCTCTCGACTTGGCGCATTTGAATAATGCGAATGGATTGAAAAAAATGCCACCAGAAGCAACACAGAAGTGCTCAGGTTACGTTTACGAGATGGAAATGCGATATGAACTTAGACACTGGGAGTCATTCCGAATGGAACCGGACTGGAGGGTTCCTTGAGCTTGATAGCATTGATTCTCTGGAGGAGGAAGTCAACGATGGAAAGTCTTTCTTCTTGATGAGTAAGTAGACCTATTGTTGTATGGAGTATATGTTATGTATAGCTATTTTTTGGCCAGCTATTTTTTTATTTTTGGTATACCACTATTGCCATGATTATCATGGAGCTAGTTTGCCACATTTGTTATTACGAGTAACCATTAGCTTTTGCAAATAATACTGTGTATGGTGCCATTTTACTCAACGTGATGATCTGTTTTAGAATTTATACCACATTCAATGTAATAGAATGCCTAGGTTTTCGCTCATTTAAAATTCAGACAGCTTGAAGACTTAGGTAAACCCCCAGTATGTTTGTTGCATCAATTCTGTTCTATCTAGGGTAGCATATTGCGTGCCTGCCCATAAAAAATAAGCAGTTTCTTTATGAATACTGTATGTGTGCTGACTGATGGGGCTCTGAAGAAAAATTGACAAAATTCTAAACTTTATCCCGGAGAAAAAGTATGTTTGAGGTTTAGGGAGGATATTGGTAACCACTGATCTCCATCCGTGCCTACCATATATTGATGAACTCATGCTAAATTTCACTTGAAAATAATTAATTTGTATTAAGCTTCGTGGGTCAAAAGTTGATTTATTTTAAAAATATGATTATTTCATGATTTGACTGCACAATTTTGAAGGCTCGGAGAGCGACTTGGATAGCTATCTTGTTTGGCTCTTGAACAGTAGGTCATTTTGAATATCGCACTCAGGTGTAGCACATTTGAGGAAGAATTTATGATCCCAGTGATGTACTATTTTAACTCTCAGCCATTTTTCTCAGTATTTTTTTAACAATTTCAATGCTGAATTTTCATGAAGAATTTTTTTGTGTTCCCAGCCCTTATTCTGTATTAAAATGATAAATCAACATGAAATACATCAGAATTTTTTGGTTTCGTTTAAGACATTTTCTCCCTCTCTGTGAACCCAAATCTTGAATTATAAAGCCTTAAATAGGGTAACGCATAAATAAGCAGATTTAGCTTCTGTGCAGAGTTATTTCTGCTTAACATGATCAATTACTCCGCATGTTTCAGTAGAATGTTACAAACAACTGATTTGATCTAGTGCCACTTTTTTTACCAACCATGAAAGACTAAATAATGACTACTCAGAAGTTTAATAAGAAACCAAGTCTGGGTTTACAGTGTGGGGAATTACTTTTTGAGGTATCCCATTAACTGACAAACAAACAAACAAAAAACAAATGAAAAAACAAACAGTGCTGAAATATATTTTCTCCTGGCAGAGGTATAATAAATATAGAGCATCAAAGGTCCAATTGCACAGCTGAAGAACTGTATAATTGAGGAATAGGGGGGAAATTTGCTTGATAGACTTAACCAGCTGGTGATCTCAATGCCCAAATACTTAATAGATGTGATTTTATGAGATGGTGATGTTACACAGTGGTAAACATTTGACTATGCCAAACATTTTTTGGACTGACCTGCAGTCATTGTATAGTGAATTTTCAATTAGCAATTAAATAAACATGTTAGATTATCAAATAATGTGTTGTAACATTTTCAATACAGTGCAGGGTAAATAGACTTTTCACATCCCTCCCTTTTTGTTCCATGATGTGTCAACTTTAGTGGAATTGGGGTTATAACTCAGGGTAGAGGTAAAAACGAGTTACAATTAGGTTGATGAGAAAGTGATGCTTTCATGTGGTGGGTAAAGATGGAATGGTGAAGTTCTTTGAAAATGCAGTAGTGTCACAGTGTGAGTGGGGCAAACAGGAACAGTGTCCAATTGTTTGTTCGACAGCAGAGGATAGAAACAAAGCTACAACCTGTAGTTCTGTTCTCCCTTCCATGTTGTGTTTTCCTTGTTTCCGTGTTTTTTTGGTTTATGTTTTTTCAGCCTCGTTTATTTGTTTTCCTCCCCCTTCTGTACATCTTGTCCATTTGTCCATTAATTGTATCTTTTTTTCTATCAGTGTTTCCTCATTGTGACAGTAGATGGGTCCTGTCACTAGAATGCCTCCTAATAAGTACACGACCTAGCTGACTTGCCAACGAACCTGGTTCTTTGGCAATGTGGTCAGTGCATGTGACTCTTACTCAGGAGTCTAGGGTTCAAACCCCCGCCCGGGCCTTCCTTCGGCCTGCCACAGTCTGGCATAATCGGCAGGATTCAGGAAATCCCAATGGATGGCAGCATGCGTAAAGTGTGGAGCGTGAGGACATGCTCCCGAAAGAGGATGTGACAGTTGATGGGTCCTGTCACTAGAATGCCTCCTAAAAAGTACGTGCCCTGGCTACTATGCCAACGAGCCTGGCTCTTTGGCGATGTGGTCAGCGCGTGTGACTCTTACCTGGGAGTCCAGGTTTCAAATCCTGCCGGGCCCCTCCTTCGGCCTGCCACATCATGTTGTCTTGTTTCTTGCCCTGCCTTCGCTGTGATTCCTGTGTTTCTCCCGACCTGTTTTGTGATAATTAATTTGGTCTGCATGTATACGTTCTTTGTTTCCTTCAGTCTGTACACAGTTGTCGCATTATTTCTGTGCACAGCAGAACATGATAGCCCCAATGACTTCCACAAACTTATTTCTCCTCTTTAGCTCCACTTGTCATGACAAGTCTTAGATACTGAACTCTACTTAATACGTTTTCAAAAGTTAAAGTTAAGTTTATCCATTTTCTTGACTAATTGTGAGTTGAAACAAAGCGTATTGGAAGGTTGAGTTCACTCAAATTTAGTTTAGGTAACTCACATTTTGAAGGCAGCCGGTGAACTTTTGTTTCTGTATAACAACTTGAAATGTATCACAGTGTGCCATTATGTCTGCTGTGTTGCAGTTCTGTATTTATTTACTCTGTTCCTGAGCCAGTCTGAAACCCAGTCTGTTGTTGATATCCTGGTTCTGACCCTGCATCCGCCTCTGAGGAAAATTTCTGATTCTGATTCTGTTTAATCAACTTTGGTTTGCTATCTGTACTGCTGTCTGGGTCTGGGTCCTCTGTGCTTCCTGAAATTTTCTGTTGTATGTTGGGCCATAACCACCATATCTCCAAAGTCACCACTTTAAAATTCACAAAGAAGACCAGTTTCTATTAATGTAAAACTTTTCAGAATCAACTGTATGTAGGGCATGCATTCATGCATGCGGGCATTTTGTTAAGTGTGTACATTTTTGGCTGAAAAGACTATCATTTAAGGAGATGAGTCAGACGTAACCCTGTACTATCTGTCGTCCGCATCTCACAAAATGGTGATTTTTTTTCCCCTGTCTGTTCTAATAGGGGTCCCAGATGAGACTTGCATAGAAAGTGTGACTAGAGGAAGAATGGTGTGAGGAGGAGGAGAGATTTCAGCCAGATAGTTTTCAGGGAAGTTTGTGAGGTTTCTTTCAGGAGCACATTGATGGATTTCATTTGAGGTCACTTAAGTTAAAAGCTAAAACATTTGACGGAACAATTCACCACTGATTAGGCTGGGATTCAAGTGTTATTATCTTGTTAGGGCAGATAAGAGGGTGCTTCTCACCAGCTGAGCAGGGCCTCACCGGAAACATTGAGGTCTGCGGGCCGCTAGGCTGTCAGAGGCGTTAATGGACTTGGCACGCAGACAAACAGCATCACGACTCGCGACCCTCACGATGTTTTGGAATTCTTTCAAGTGGGAAATTAATCACCCTCGGGAATTCAGTTCATGAGGAAGAATGAACATTTTTCTCAGAGTTCAATAGAGTTTAAGACATTTTCAAAGTGGTTATGAAAAGTGCTAGGGCATGACTGTCGGGAAATTACCAAAAGATAGTATATACTTCCCTGAACACTCTAAAAGACTATTGAATAGTTAAATAATGCTCAAAAGTCTTGCTAAGAAGAACACCAATTGCTGTCAGATATGCAAAAAGATATACACTGAAAAAATTGAGACTTAAATAAATGTGAAAATATTGCGTCAATTTCTTACATCTAATTGAAATTTTCTCCCCTGACTTTTTTAGACATCACAGAAACCTAATTTCACTATGTTAAATAAAATTCTCTCTTCACATACACTATATGGCAATACCTGATCACTTTCTTTGTGCATATCATACAGGACAAAAAAAGGCATTCATTTGAAAATGCACGAAAATATCAGACTTGATCACATAGAACATCTGCAACCACAGGGGACCCATCAAAAAAATGAAGTTGGGGAAAAATAACAGATATCCGGAAGTGTGATCATGAAGGCAATTACAATGAAGACAATGTTTCTGAGAGACATGGTGACCTATAATTGCGGTGGGCTCAGGAGTGGAGCCCCATAGGTGACCAGCAATCGGGGCCAATGGTCTCTCAGGATAAAAGCTATCAAGGATTTGCAGACCAAGAAAATCACTGTCAGATGGCCACTGAGGCCAGGGCAGGGGGATGGGTAGGTATGGGTGGGAATTGTAATTTAGAAAATCTTAAAGAGAAGATACCATGTAAATCTGATGTGTTCATAATCATACAAACTTGGATTCAAAAATAATTTGTACTTAACTTTGACCAACTTAAAAAAAAAAAAAAAAATTGGTCAGTTCTGTGGTTACTAACATCCATCCATCCATCCATCTAAACCACTTCTTCCTCAGAAGGGTTGCGGAGGAGCTGGAGCCCATCCCAGCTGACTGTGGGCAAAAGGCTGAGACATATCACGGACAGCTTGTGAATTCATCGCAAGGCACACACACCATTCATACACCCTTCATTCATGCACTCATACTAATGGACAATTTTACAGTCTTCATTTAGCTTGACAAGCATGTCTGTGGAAACCAGCATACTCAGTGGAAACCCTCACGAACACAGATACAACATGCAAATGTCACACAGAAAGGTCCCAGGCTGGATTTTGAAACCACAACTGTCATGCTCTGAGACAACAGTCCTATGCACTGCACCACCGCACCATCTCTCTCACGAACATGTATTCCATAAAATGTATTTTCAAAGAAAAATGAACACCTGAATGCTTCCTTGTTTCAAGTTTCTAAGTGAGTTGAGCAGACAGTTCTAATTTGTCAAATTGGATTAGGTCTCAAAGAAATCTATTATGAACTTTAAAGTGAACTTTTAGCCCCTTAGCCCTGAGGAAGCCCACCTAATGCTTAAAAAATGCTCATGGACACCCACTGTTCATCTGTCAAACTCCACCTGACATCTCCATGCAGTTCAATTCCCAGATGCAATACAAATCAGAGAGAGGGAGATATAACTCCCTCCCAAGCTTCCCTCAGAAACTTTTTTCCTTGTTGCAAGCAAGTAAGCAGAGCACTTTTGAGTTAAGTTTAATGCAGCCATGAGAACATGCACTATATCGCCAAAAGTGTGTCCTCATTTCTCTGAAACTCTATTGACACATATAGAGAACTGATAATAAAATTGAATTTGGAATTAATTGGTCATTTTGGCCAGATTATGCTGACATTCAGCTTCCATTTGAGGGTGTCGTGTTTCAAATCTGCTTTAGTTTGAGGATTTTGCAGCACTTTGTTTACCCCTTCACCCCCTCCCTTACTGAAGGCTCTATTGAAACTAGTTGGAGTGGTAGGGGGGCACATCCAGAAAGGGCAACAATTTCTGAATTGTGGGGCAGAATTGTAGAAAAATACCCTCAATGAAAGCTGAACATCTGTCCTATCAGCCCATACTGACCAGTTCACTCCAAATTCAATTAAAATGCCAGCTATTTAGAATTTAATAATGTCTGTCTCTTATGTATGCCAATGAGGTTTCAATAAAGAACCCACACAATTTTGGCAATATAGGGTATATTTGAGAACCAGGATTGTTCAGCTTTCATAATATAGGTCACTTGCTCAACCTGTGTGTCACCATGGTAACACAATGTCCTGTCAATCAAAAAAGTTGTTTTTTTTTTTGGGGGGGGGGGTAGGGAGGTCTTCGGAGGGAAATGGTTTAGAAAGATGAAAACATTATCAAAGCAACAATTCTGCATGGCGGAGATTACACACGACCAGCTGCTGTTGGTCAATCACACCAGAAACACCTCAGAAGCTTCCTTGAAACACTTTCCATATTTCAAACCCCTCCCCCATTTCCATCTTTTTCCTTTCTTTTCAAAAAGAAGATGTGTGAATTCATATTTTCCTGCTCATCCTGTAAAGACCAACAGGCATAATAAGGCCATATATATATATATATATATATATATATATATATATTTAAAAAATTAGTCAGTTATTATCCTTCATATTTCAATTTTCGGGGTGGGGGGCGTCTGGAGGTTTTTTTTTCATTTCATTAAAATAAAAGTCTTCTGCATGGATAGGAATTCTGAGCATTTTTCCTCACTTTCTTTTTGGCTCTATTCAAACTGAGTTTTTCAAAATTTAAAAAAAAAAAAAAAAAATGGAGGCAAGAGGGTTTTTAAGGGGCAGGCAGGGATTCCAATTAACTATTTTTTTTATATGGCCTTCGTCCGAGAAATGATAATGACTAGTGCAGATCTTCCACTGCTGCAAACATGTAGCTGATGTTTTTGGCATGCAGTAAGAGTGCAGCTTTGTAAACATAGAAGACAGCGACGAACTGAAACGACAGACTGCGGCTGTTTTGGCTGGAGCAGTTTCACTTGACCTAGTGATACTGCTGAAAGTGAACTGAACCTGAACCAAGGCCACAGGGCAGGCGTGCTGAGTGGGCCAGAGTGCAGCCAATCAGAGAGCAAACAAAGTCTTATGAAGCATACACAACTACAGCAATACGGGCGACAGCGAAGTGATGTAAATTGGCATATATATATATGACAGATTTTAAATGTCAACAACAAATTTCAACACAATCAATTTTGGTTTTCACACATACTGTATGATGTAATCCAATGCCAATTTTTTTACTTTATTGAGATTTGTAAATTGGTCAACAAATATTTTACCACCTGATCCATTATGAATGTCATGCAGCTTTGAAAGAATATATATCTCAACATACTGCATGACCGAAAAGTTTAGTACCACTGAACAGGTCAAGAAAAAGTGCAATTCCTATGCAATCCTCATGTTTCTGGTCTGTCAAATTTCAATTACGATCATACTGGGCCACATCAAGTTGAAATGACAAAGATTATTTCTCATTTTAAGCTCGTTAGAAT